ACATTGTTTGTTGTGCTTGCTTCAGCTGTGTTAAATTAACACAGACTAAAAAAATATCAACTACAGGTATTGAATGTGCTGAGAATCCTCTGAGACTCTGCAGGTACCATTGTTCATCTGGTTGTGTCTTATTGCTTAATTATAACCTCACTGTCTGCCAGAAGTGTGTATCAGTTAACTGTCGTGGGTGTCCCTTCTCGTTTTAGATACGCCTGTTCAAAGTCACCAATTTTCGTTTATTTTTCTGATGGGATAATGTTAAACAATGATGTTTTTAATTTCATTTTAATCGTCTGTTTTTCCAGGCTGAGTGTTGAGTATTTGTGATAAAAAAACAAATGGCCACACGTTACTAACTGATACACCTGCTCCTGATGTGCTATGTTTTAAATGTACTTAAATCATCCATATACTGTATAGAAAATCCATAGACTTGTGATCCATTGTTATTTATTAAATAACTTTATTGTATTACATTGCAGACAAAAATAGATATATTTCTGCCTCTCCTTATGGGCATATATGGTATCTGCCTCTCCTTATGGGCCTATACATATACAGTATGTCTGAGAATGTAGCTGAGGTATTTTTCCTTTCTGCTTAAGGTGACTAAAAAATGGAATAGGAATCAGATTATACTGATATTTCAAGGTAAGTGTGTGTACTAGTCAGTATGTGTCTGGATCACGAAATATGATCTTTGACACTGAAATTGAATGATCTGATTGAGACACCTGCCAATAGTTGTAGGTCCTTTCATGACATCTCTGGAACAAACCCCTTTTACCTCACCGTGATCACGCGCCACACTGCCAGTGGTGCTGCCTGCTGTTTCCAGGCAGGGCTGCTTGCTGTCTGTTGAAAAAGCTTTAAAATGAACATGTAAGGAATATGCAGTATACTGTAACACTGTAGGTATTATATGCAATTTTACGTTCTATTTAAAGCCCTTTAATTGTATTCCATTTAATCATTTTTTTTAAATATGGTATATTTTAAAGGCAGTGTTTCAGGTTTTTTTCCTGCTTCAATTTCCCTATCATGGTAGTTTAAAATAAGAAGAGGGATTTCTACCCTCATACCCCTGACCTGCTAAATGTCTAGGGGCCCCTCCAAAGAGAAATGTCCCTCATTGTGTCTAAAAAGCATTCCAGCGGAAGCCCTTCTAGAGCCTTATAATTTTGCTGTGCATTTTTATTCATAAATTCATTGAGTGTGAAGGAGATTTGCACGCAACATTGCATAAATTACTTCAGAAGCCTGAAAAATGGAAGACAGTGCACTTACAAGCTTTTGAAAAACAGTTATGATATAATGAGCAGTATAATATTTATAGCAAGTTGAATATTCAATAATGAGAATTGTTTGATTGGACATATCAGAATAGAACTTGTTGGCAGAAGATACTGTTGCATGCCTCTACTTTTCTGCCATTTTGAGAAGCACATTCTCCACAGTATACTTTTATTTTTCTGAAGAGGTAAAATATTTGAACAAACTTTCCTCTTCCTTTGCTCAAGGCCATCACGAATCCGCCTGCCTACTCGTGGAAACAGATACACACCCCCACAGGTACCAAAACACAGCATCCACCCATACATATTCGGTACCTGGCAGCAAGAAACAGTTTGACAAGACAATCCCTCATAATTAAATGCTGTAATTGGTATTTTAATCAGCATTGTAGCCAGGAAGATGGTGTGCTTAACAAATACATGTATAATATACACAGACATTGTCACAATTCTTAGCCAAAGTGATGAAAGGCTATCTTTAAATTGGAACCCGGCTGTACTGTTAAAAAATGACTTTATGAAGTTCTCTCCACAGTGATACAAGTGAAAGTAATATGCAATAAAGTCGGTAACAAAACATCTGTTTTGGTTTGAAATGCTTTGCACATGGAAAACTTCGGAACAGAAGGTGTTTCATGCTGAAGATAATTCTTAAAGACAATATTAACAAAAACGGGATATATAACACAGGTGGGTGAGATGACAAAATTATGACATCAGCATAGTTGCAAGAGGAATACTTTTGTCACACTAAAATATATTTGATCAGCGCTTTTCAACTGAAATCACTTAACATAATATTAACAAAAACATTTCCATGCATTTATATAGAGATTTTCATCCCAGAAGACTCCAAAGCTGGTTGCATTTAGGAGAGGTCCTGCTTCATATGACTCTGAAGTGCTGCCGATGATATCTGGGCTGAGGTTAAGAACTGGATGCCTCAAGTCCTTGAGATAGCCGATAGTCCACTGAGATAACTGTTCAGTGCCTCACGTGCCGGGCGAATATTAACGTCCACTTCAGCAGCCAGGGAGACAGCCGTGCAGTTAACATGCTGTAGGATTACTGTAGGTTATATATCGATGCCGGATAGTTTTAATTTACACACAAGATGCAGAGCCCGTGACACACTGAAGCCAGGGCGCTGTAGACACTTCAGTAAGGCCGCGCAGCAGCCTGGTCTTCATTACATAAAGCCATGTGTCCGTTTCTGTATCAGCAGAGCAAGGAGTGTGACCTGGAAATGGCATGTTGATGAGAAAACATACCCTTGGGGTGCTTCTGCAGGGGGCTTTGAATGACCCCTGAGGGCTGAAAGCAACCGCAAGGTTTCGAACTCCAGTACTGCCAGCCTCAAGAAGCTGTTTTTAGGAGTGTGTGAGCCGTTATCCTCAGTCTTGTCCCGAGTTTAACTCGAGAAAAACCTGTCAAATCTACATTGTAACAGTGCTTGGAGGAGCACGGTGAATAATGCGTGTGAAAATAATGCCCATTTCTAAAATGTTATCAACAAGCCGCTGTTAGGCGTGGAACACAATGTGTTTTTGTTGGGGACATCAGCATTTTCCCTTGATTTTAAAGGTGTCTTACATTTGCTTTTGTGTCTGAGGCTCATTTCCAAACATGAAGTTTCCATGGGTAGAGTCTGTGGCAGCTATTCTGCAGGTGTGTTCCACTTTACTTTTAGGAAATGTTAGAATTAAATACTGTCAGAATGTTTCAGTATGTTTCCAAATATGTCTGTGCTCTGGGTGAAATATTGAAATACTGTATCTCTCTTGAAGCAAGGCCGTGTTAAAAATGTGCAGTGCAATTAAGCAGTCATTAGCAGGGAGAATTTTTAGGCTCCTCTGCCTCAGCTGTTGGTTTAAGGTTTGTTAATGTGGTGTGTTTTCTAAAGGAAGTGGTAAAGTCATTGCAAGAACAAATTAAAAATAATTAATAATGTGCACATGCCTTTTAGATACTGAAATATGCAATGTATGAAAAATAATTGGAAGTAATGTCAGTAATCTACTTAGAGTAACAATCAAGCTGTCTGGTATGCGTCGTTACCTTAGCAACGCAAATAATCTGAATACTCTGCTACAATTATTGTGGAACTGTACAGCATTTTCCTTTAATGTGTTTGGAATTACAATTAACTTGTTTTTTTAATATACTTTGATAATAACCTCAGTTTTACGTGAACCCAGTATTCTGCGGCTTGGTTATGAGAGATGGGGAAATGGCGAAGAGAGAGAAGCATCCTGATGAGGCCCACGATCCACAGTTATCCAGTTATCTCCAGGCAATGCTGGCTTGAGAAGGGAGGCCCCTACTGCTTTAAAGGGATTTGGGAATATTTGACCCTTTAAATACATTTTAAACCACCAGAAATCAATTAACAAGGGAGAAACCTGTAAAAAAATTAATTGCAAGAAAAGATCCCTGATTTAATTCCTTCATTACAGCCCCATGGGGTTTTTATGCGTTATTGCTGATTGGAAAAGTGCATTTTAGTTATGCAAGAAATTGAGTGATCATCCATTTTACAACCTTTTCATTAGGAAAAGCCTTTTTCCTTGGTTTGAAAAGTGTCTTACATTTGTGTTCGTGTCTGAGGCTGGACTCCAAGCGTGCAGCTTCTGTAGGTGCATCCGAGTTTCACGACTGTGAGATTGTCTGAAACAGGGAATTCGCAAATCAGTTTGTAATCTGTCTTCTTTTAGTTAGCATTATCCCTCAGCATTTAAGCTGCGATTGTCTTCTGTCAGCTCACAGTCTCCGTTTTCTGCAGCTGGCTCAAAGTCACTTTCCCCCTGGAGTCTGGGGCCTTGTTTCTCCTGCTTTTTATGTTGGGATTGTGTTGGCACCTCCTGTCCCGAGGCCTACATAGCATGCTTTGGTACAGTTGACACTCAGTCCATCTCTCCAGCCATCCATTCTCTAACCCCTTTATCCGGTACAGGGGCACGGGGGAGCTGGAGCCTATCCGGGCAAGCAACAGGCGCAAGGCAGGATACACCCTGGATGGGACACCAGGCCAACACAGGGCAGACATAGACACAGATGTGCACACACTCACACCACTGCCACTTTTCAAAGAAGCCAATTACTCTACCAGCAAGTCTTTGGACAGTGGGAGGAAACCAGAGCACCTGGAGGAAACATACAACTCCAGGCAGACGCCACCCCAGGTCCAGACTTGAACCCAGAGCCCCAGCGCTGCGAGGCAGCAGTCCTGACTGTTGGACGATCGTGCTGCCCACATGCAGCCCAGTTGATGGCAATTCAGTATCCTTGTTTCCAGGATGAGACGTTATGCTGTTACTGTAAGCGATGGCTTTCAAACAGTGCTATAGTCATTTACATTTATCCAAAGTGACAGGTAATTAATTTGAAAAAAAATCACAGTACTGAAATAGGATTAATACATTACCATGTGGATAATTAAAATTGACCACGGTGTAGCTCTGTACACAGATGCAAGCTTTTGCAGAACCGATTGAAAAATGGGCAATTTAGCCGTAGAGCAGTTGAGGTACAGTATCGGATCACCTGCAAAGAATATGCATGCTTGCACACTCTCAGACACAGGCATGGTCATTTCCTCTGCTCAACTAAAATCACTTTACATTAAATTACACTTAAGGAGATGTGGAATTGGTTGTTGTGTTTAATTTCTATAATTTCATTTCTCTCTCTCTCTCTCTCTGACAGAGCTACATTCATGGAAGCAGCCAAGCACAGTTTGTCGCTGAATCTCACATCATTCTTCTGCTGAGTATCCTTTTCATAAACACATCTCAAGGCCATAGACCTATACAGTGAAATAACTGTAGCTCATTAAAGAAGGTAAGTCTCTGTACTTTCACAGCAATAAAATAGGACTTTATTGCTTAAACAAGTAGCATACTGTAATAATAACTCGACAACATTGACAAACCACTTAGACACTTTTACCTAAACTATAATATATAATATATAGTTTAGGCAAATTAAACATTATTCATTGGTGACTTGAGATAATATGTTCCTTATATTTAAGAACAAACACTTATTTTAGCAGATAATTGTAGATCTCAGGTTAGTTTTGCATCTACCTGTTGATGTTGATGTGTATGTATTAAAGTTTATTAAGTAGAAAAGTGCTCTGAGAAAAATCTGAGATTTAAAGTTTTGGAGAGCAATGATGCATCTCTCAACTCAGTTTTATTAAAGTGTTTGTGGAATAATACATAGCATATTTAGAAGTGAAGTTCTATTCATTTTGTGACTGATTTCAGGAGTGTTCTGTTCCGGAGATACCTAGAAGCAATAAAAACAGCATTAAACTGCAAACACAAACACGCGGAATAAACAGTTTTGTCATGGATGAGATCCTAAAGGATGTAAAATGCCTAAGGGTTTAAAAGGTAATTTATGTTAATAATGATTTTCTGTTTGCATTGAATGAGTTCAGTTTTAGGAAATTCCACATTAATGAAAAGAAGGTATCTTAGCTCAGGTTTTGTGTCAAGCTTTGGAATGAAATCATATTTAAGAGCCTACTTCAGATCTGCAGTATGAATTGGCTGGGTTTACAACAATAATAATAATAATAATAATATCAGCAATAATAACTATCAGTTACACTGTTTTCACCTGTTTACATTTGATGTGTGACCTGTTGCCCCATAGAAAACTTTTTACTTGAGTGGAAAATATACTGTTGATAAGAAAGCATATAAAGTCAAATTACTAAAATTCTCCAGGTCTGCTGCATGTGGCTTTTTTTGTTCAGTGTTCAGTATGAAGGTGTGTAAAAATCCATCCAAACACATGGAAATATCTCTGACCCACACCGGTACACCACAAACTTGTCATGACCTCCTCAATCAATTTTAATTCTGTGTGAAATACAGTACACTTTAATGAAAAGCGTAATGCTGTTTCTTGAGGACCAACAATACCCAACAGGAAAATGCATTAAGGACGCTTATGGAGACGTCAGGTTTAAGAATCTTTGGGTTGACCCACTGGCTGAGATTCAGCCTCCTGGCCAGAGGACGAGGAAGTCAGGACCCCAGCTGAGGCATATTAACCGTGGGCAGCTGCACAGGTGGAGAAGGGGTGTGGGAGAAGAGAGGAAGGCTTGCTATGGTATTTACATCTTTCTGGCAAGCACCATCAGAGAGTATTATAAGTCCGAGCACCGGAGGGGAAGGCGAGCTCGGCTGCTTGCGTTGCTCACGTCAAACATTTCGTTGAAAAAGCTCCCTTCAGTATCCTTGCTGTCATTAACTTTATTGGCGCCTGTTTCTGCTGGAGCTCGTCCGCTCAGACAGCGAGGACTGTGGGGAGACCAACGCAGAGGGGCTCCACGGGGCAGGTGGTCCGCCGGGCAGGAATGAGGCACCTGCTGCCTTTGTGCACGGAGCTTTACGCTCTGCTGACTGCTGGTCGCTGGGCACGGCGCTCAAGCACGGAGGAGGAGTATGAGAGCAGCATCGTGCCGTCCGTCTTGTTTCAGTGATGCTATCCCGATTAACGCCGTATCTGAATTTTTGGGGTCCCGCGGTCAATGTGGCGGCTGCTGGTCAGGACCACAGCTGTGACACGTCTACCCACAGCAGGTGGTTTCCGGCCTCTACTCACTTTCATTTTCCAGCTGCGTCTCAAATCCAGCCCATCTGCAAAGTCAGGTTTCTCCAAAACGACTTACTGTACTTATTCGCACCCAATTATAAATTTGTCTGGGTTTTTTTTGCCTGAATGGATTCAGGTGAAGTTACAACAGTGCCGTGTCTCGCCTGGGATCTGAACCCAAACCATTCTAGTTACAAGTCCAGAGTCCTGATGCTCCAACAAGATTTATCGTAAGTGTCCCCGGTGTCGTACCGTCAGTCACGGGCGCAGTTCATAATGCCTTCACACTATGTGAGGGTAGACAGGCTTTGTGCAGAATATTCCTTGCCTTTTATGTCCTTTAGTGCTAGAAAATGCCTCAATGCTTAAGACGTTTGTGCCAGGTGTACCTATGCTCAGCACAAAACCCATGATTTTCCATCAATTCGTGCAACTTTGAACCATGAAAATATTATTGGATCCTCTGGTAGACCAGCCCTTATACAGTATGTGTCATTTGCAAGTGGTGCTTTGTAGTCCCTTTACAGTGGTGAGAGAGGCAGGAGTTTATCTCGTGTATGTAGACAAAAACACATGCTCAGTGTATGCGATGGGTTGCTAGACTGAAGTGTAGTTTATCTAGCAAGAATAATGCTTATGGGTGTGCTCCTTTTAAATAGTATTTAAATTATATTTTGTGTCATGGGGATTATAAGATTTAGCAATAGAATATATGTGTTGTTACATTGAACATTCAGCTTCACAGAGTTAAGATACATTAATTATTCTTAATGTCCCAAGGAATTATTTTGTCAGGAGATTAAGTTATAATATATGCAAAATATAGATTACTAACAACTTAATTAGCTGCATCTTATCTATTACAACTGTGATTACTCTACAACAATACATGTAATTAAAGAGACAGGCACTCAGAGAGAGAGAAGGGTAACAAAAATAAAGGGAATTTGTGAGGCAATGGATTCTGAAAGAGAAAAAACGTGGAAACATTGTGAATTTTAGCATTTCTCATCTTCAGAACAGCAGTAGTAATTTATCAGTGTACACACCTTACCTTAAAAGCAGTTCCTGAGCTCCAACAAAAACATTGCAAAAAGTGCATTTGTTAGAGAAATGTGTTGGATGCAATCTTATCTTACCTCTTAAACATTTTTATTTTAAATACGTTTTTAAATTCATAATCTAAGCCGTGCTAGTTTCAACATTTTTTTGTGTTATTTTGAATAGAAAAGGGTATTCGCTACGTAATAATAACCCCCATACACTTCTTGCTTCTTGCTACAGTTTTACTCAAAAAGTCAATTAACACTTTGGCTATCAATGAACTCCGATCAATAAAGCGGGTTAAGTGAATATGAGTTAATTAGCAAAGTAGTTATCCTCACTGCCAAAGCTGCCTGAAGGCATATGTCACTTGTTAAGTTGCACAGAGATATGCTAGAGAGGAAAAAATAGTCTTACAGTGACAGCAAGTATTTTAGACACAAGCCGCTGACATATATGCAGCCACCTATGCCAGCAGTATCGGGTATTGCTTTATTAAATAATAATAAAGCCCAATATTCAGTACAATTAAGTCTTGCACTTTATTAAAAGTGATCAAATAAACCAAATATTCAAAGAAGGCAGAGGCAGTTAACAGGAAAATGGAAACACCGATGTAAAGTCACTAAAGGAGTTGAGCCACCACGTGGAGCCTGTATGCGCCGTGGCCAGGCTCTGGAATGTGACACAGTTCTTCCACAGGAAGAGTAAGACGTTGAGAAATCGGTCAGTTCGCCCCCGGATGATGGAGGTGGAAAATCGGTGACCGAGATGGCCGTGACATACAGATAACATCAACGTCACGCTCATCCCCCACAACACATGCCCCGTGGAAGGGGGGGGGGGCACAGTCCTTCTAGAACACACCCCTCCCAGCGGGGGAGAAACGACTGATTCCGGAATTGGAGAACTGTGGATCGAAGATGATCGCTCGGAAACCGCAGATTGCGGGCAGCATTGACCCTGGTCTCCGAAGGGAAGCGAGCGCGCCCAGTCCGCGCCAGGGAAGTGCCACGACTCTACAGAACCACCACAGCCGCTCGCTGCAGGACCCAGGCGCTCGGGGCCGCGGAGGTCTTCAGGCTGGTGCCACCCTTGCACCCATCCGTCTGTGGAGAACACGGTGCAGGACGATTCATCTGGCCAGATGGCATCTCTCCGCTGCTCGCTAGTCCACAGTCTGTGCTCTGTGTACCACCGAACTCACAGGCGTGCGCTGCCAGGTGTGACGATGGCCTGTTGTGTCCCACGCAGCCTTGGTATCCTGCTCTGTGGAGTCCTCAGCATGAAACTGGCAGCACACAGCCGGGGTAGAAATTGGCAGCCTGTTTATCTGAAGTTGCTTGCCTGTCTTGCTCTTCAGATCAGTGTGTAAATATCCCAATCCTCAATTCTAAACTTCTGTCCACTGTTGCCCTTTGCGGAACGTCTCTGTCATCCGGATCCTCACCGTGCAGGATGTATTAATTAAGGAAATAACATGAGCCACACCCACGAGAAGCTCCTTTCTTTCAATGTTCCTGCCGTCCCTGATTTGTCTTCAGTAAAGTGGGTCTTCATTTCTTCGTGATCGTGATGTTTTTTCTTTAATCTTTACAAGAAGATGCAGTGTGACTGTTTGATTTAATGTTACAAGACACTAACCAGTTGAAAAACACAGGGGATAATTAATATGTGGTGTGCTGTCTACCTGAATTAGGAACAGAAGAATTCATACAAAAAAAAACCCTTGGGACATTAAGATTGTAAAAACCCTCAGCTCCTCAACACGTCACTCACTGAGCTGCTCACCGTGTGTCCCAGAGGAACTCTGCGAAATGGCATCCCTTATTTTGGAGCTCTGGGACAATTACGGGATCAGATTACGAAACAAGACAGAAAAGTAACACTACTATCTCTGCTTCATAGCACTGCAGACTTGATCCCTTGGTGACTTCACTGTGCTTAGACGTCTTTCAGTAGAAACTCTTTCAATCACTCACGTTTCTATATAGACATATAGAGATAACTGGTTGGTCCTGGTTGGAGTCTGCAGATTTTCATTTCAACCCGGCCATCTACCAAGCCTCATCAGCCTGTTGAAAGCCCGCAGACACACTGGCTCTCCAGGATCCAGCAGGGTGGCCCTGGTGCTTTTAGTGAAGCAGGCAAGAGTTGATCATCAGGCAATAATCATTTTAGGTGGTTGGTGTGCCCTCCCCTTAGCTCAAATGTTCTGGAAACTGGCAACAAACCTCAGATCCCACTAATAAAGGATTTATGATAAAGCAGATTCATATTGGTTAACTGGATAACTTTTTATGGTTTATTTTTTTATCCCAATAGTCAGTTTAGATCAGGTGCCATTAATTTAATTTTTAAATATTTAATGGTCACTTTCATGACTGATTTTTTATCTTGACATATAACCAACAATGAGGTGATTTGTAATCTGTCATTAGCAGAATAACTAGACAGATTATTTATCATGAAATATTAGAACACTTTTAGCTACTGAGCTGATTATAGTTGTATATTTTACCTGTGAATCGGTAGTCTTTAAAAAAAAGCTGCACCTCAGGTTTTTAATATAATTAAAGTTGTGTGGGACTGAAATTAGGACAGATATGAATTAAATAAAAATTTAAGAGGTTGATATTTGGCTATAGCTGAACAAGAATGTGAAAAACTCCTCCTCATCATCATCTGACAGCTTACTCCTGGTGAGGGTCGCGGTGGAAACAGGCTGAGCAGTAGATCAGGCTTCTGTTACCCCAGCAACAGTCTCCAGCTCCTCCTGGGAGCTCCCAGGCCAGCCAAGAGATACAGTATCATCCCTGCAGCATGTCCTGGGTCTGCCCTGGGGTCTCTTTCCAGTGGGAGGTGCCTGGCGGCAACCGCCTCCCCATCCGCACCTCAGCTGGCTTCTGCTCGATCCGGCCGAGCAGCAACTCGACTACGAGTTCCTCGCAGTCCGCCGCTCGTACCGGTGATCTCATCCTGTCAGTCCCTGCCCGGACCCTGCGTGCCCACGGGTGAGGATGGGGACGCAGATCAACCCGACAACCCAGGGCTTTGCCTGAAAACGCGGCTCCCCGCTCCAGCAGCGCGGTTCGGTTCAGAGTCCACCTTACTGCAGTCGCTACAGCGATCCGCAGGTCAATCCCACAGTCCCCTCCTGTCCCATCACGCGTGAACAAGACCCCGAGTCATTACTCAGTTGTTAAGAACTGTGAATAAAATGTTATTGAAAGTATTTCCCTGGGAGCTGAATATACAGTAAATCACTTTCACAGTTTTTGGCCAGGACAACATGAAAAGGACTGTGAAAATGTGCTCTGTGAACATTTTAACTGCTAAATATCTTCATTTGTATGAGCTTATTTGTGGGCTTATTTTTCAGTTTTTAGAGGAACTATTTTTGCCATTGGTGTTCTTGAACTCAAGTACCTGAAAGTACTTGAGTCAGTTCACCATATTGTTGAATTATTTTGCTTTCTTGGGACCGTCTTTCCTTGGCATTGATTTCTGAGTGGGTGTCAACAAAAATGTGGTTTCCTAGCAACGTGAAACATTGAAACGCAAAAGCACCTGAAAGTTTGAAACACTTGAAATCCAGTATTAAACCTGTTTCATTGTCTTTTAATACAGAGTACCACACTGAAACTGATCACAGACTCGGGTGTCTTAAGACGTTTGTGTACATGTACAGTACATTTGAAAAGCACAGCACATGTGAAGCACAAGTTCACTGAAACAGGAAATCTGTTTTTGAAGATCCCGTTAGACGGCACCGTTGTTTCCTTGACAACAGCTACAGATGCTGCAATCACCATGGGGATGGTTCTTCTGAATGAGGCTGCCACTTCGAAAGGGGATGTTGGCAAACGCAGAAGTATGTCACTTTTTTTTCCAAGTCATTTGCAATTAAAATGTTTGTTGTGAGCAATAACGGTTATGTCGGTTAGCACCCAAGCGGGTGTTTGAAGGAGAAGCCAGCAGCAAACAAATGGTTATTAAACTCGGCGAAGTACAGTTTTCTCAATGGCCCTCCAAACTGTAATTATGGTGTTGAATCTTGCCTGCAAGGAGAATGGGATTGGTAAATTTGTTTATCTTTCGATGGCGTAGTTATTTGGCCAGGCCTGCATGGGCAATGAGGAACACTGCGGCGTTTTCCACAGGCCTCCTGCCACTGCCTTGAATGCCCTGGCAATGGTTCACACTCTTAAAAGTGATTTGAGTGGTAGGATACAGTTAAAAATGCATCTATTACAAGATAGAACTTCTGCGTTTATTGAACACTCATTCATCCTGGCAAGTACTAGTTCTGATTTTGAGTGAATTAACTATTTTAAGACGCACTGTTGTGAATACTTAATTCTGTGTTTCTATAGACGACTGTGAAGCAGCGGAAATTAGGTATTCACACCCGTAATTGCCTCTTGCTAGGATGAATGAATGTTTAATCAACTTAGAAGAGATATATTTATCAAATAATTATAGTTTAACAATATTTTTGGCAGTCAATGCATTACACAATTGCTTAGTACAAGATGGAGTGTACTAGTAGTTACGTCTGTACATGTGGTTTCAATGCACAGCAATAAAAAGAACATTGCATTGCAAGGTACTACTGTGCATGGAATACTTCATTCTTGTAAGAATTTTAAATGCTAAAATATGAAATAAAATATATAAAAAATATAAATATAAAAAATATAAAAACTTTTTATATTAAATAAAAAGTAATGAGCTCTGCTTGTTCTGTGAATGAGAGCTTGTTTTTGCCATTACCCATCTGAAGAGCTTTGAAACACCGACATCGGTAGAGAGGGAAATTGTTAGCAGACCACGGCACAGCAGACATACATAAATGAAAGGTTTGTATATGAAGTGCCTGTGTGGTGAAAACACACCCGTCTCACTTTTGAACCCTGATTCTTAATATCGGGTTTTTTAATATTTACACCTCCTACAAGTGTACTACTTAATGGAGTCGCAGAAGTATCATTTTGAAGACCACCTGTACCAGGACTAAGAAACACCCGAAGAAGAAACCTCAATGACCGAAACGTTGTGTTTCTTCCTTCTGCTTTTAAGTGTCGCATGAACCTTAACTTGTTATTTTGCAGGCAAAGCTTGTTGTTGAACTTAAACCAAGTTGTGTGCTTCCTGGTGTATGATGGTTGATGCGCAGATCTAATATATTTTGATTGTTAAGCCATGAAGACGGTACTGTTGTGGGCAAAACCATCACAGAACATGGTGTATAAGCTTTTGTCCTTTTCACCTACTGCATGCAGTATATAATTCTAAAAAAACGTCACGTATAAAGGTTAATTTCTTCACTTTAATTTTATAGCTGACTGAATATTTGGGACATTTTAGTACACATGATTGTGAGGACGTTTTTCCTCAAGAGCAATATCCTTTTCTTTCTTCACATACTGTTCTGTGGTTTTCTTCTATCAATATTGAATGTTTGTGTTGCATCCACCCACCCACGCACAATCACAAATGAAAGAAAATGAATATTGCCGTTTGCCTCTGTAAGCAGTGTGGCATAGCAAAAAACGGCTCAAACTTGTTAGGAGTCTGCCTGTAGGCTTCCACGTGACAATCATGTACAGTATGAAATAATTTATAGCCAATTTATAAGGCACAATAATGTCATGATCAGTATAGAAGAAAGCTGTGTGAAATGGTTCAGGCTTTGAATGCCAGTTTATCCCATTGTCTCACAGTGAAACGTACAAAACTTAATCTCTTAAAAAAGTGTGGGAGAAAGAGTGGACCACAAATTCCAAAGCTGGGCAAATTGCTTTCAAGGAAAAGAGAAGAGACAAAAAAGGGGTATTTATTTTAAGAAGGAATTTCGTGGAAAACATTTGAAAAGTTATATACTGTATACTGTACAGACATACACAAGTAACACAAAGAAAGGTTTGTGAATGGAAAATCTGCATTCATTATGAAAACTCAAAATTGAATGTCCCTGCAAATTATGGTATAGTGTTGCCTGAACATTACTAATGAGTGTTTTGCTTTTTTTGTACTTTATTCATTTGCCAGGTGCATGCCACTAGAGGTTTTCAGTGAATAAATATACCTTTCTATAATCTGATATTTGTATCAGCATACAGTATATAAACATTGTGATGTCCCATTTTGTTTAATTTCAAACCATTACAGTGCCAAGAAAATATTTGTAAATTTCTTAGATTGGTCCTTGTTCTGGTACCTTTAAAGTATATCTTAACAAAAGTCTTAATCAAAGAGGAACAAATAACACCTTAAACACACAACACGTAAGATATTGTTGAATTATTTTTCAAAACGGTCCAACAAAAATTATGTTAATGTAAATAAGTATGTAAACACTTAGATTCGGTAATCAGTGGTGCTCCCTGAGCTTGCATTAGCTTTCAGAAATGTTTGCCCATTTTTCCTTGCAGAGCTTCAGATCAGTGATGTTTGAGGTTTTCCTTGTTTGAAGAGCTCTCTTTAGGGTCCTTCAATGATAAGTCAGTCCTGACTTTGATTTGGCCAATTGAAAATGTAAAATTTATCCTTCAGCTGTTCTGTTGTAGATCTGCTGGTATGTTTGGGATCATTGTCTTCCTGCATGACCCACTTATAGCTGAGCTTCAGCCTAATTGATTGTTCTGTCAATGATGACAAGCCATTCGGGTCTTCAGGCAGCAAAGCAGCCCCAATCCGATGTTCCAGGCTTTCCAATCCACCTCCAAGCTTGATGGATAAGATGAGGTTCTTCTGGAAGTCAGTGTTTGGTTTTTGTCACACAAAACATTTCTCAGCGTCACCAAGAAGTTCAACTTTTGATTCGTCTGTAAAGAGTACATTCTTCCAGTAGTCTAGTGGATCATCCACGTGCTACTTGGTGAACTTGAGAAAGACAGAAAAGGTTTTTGAAAGCTCACTGGTCTCTTCTTGACTATCCTCCATGAAAACCAGTGTTTGTGTCTTTTCCTCATGATTGAGGCATGAGAACTGTCATTAGATGCAGTGAGAGAGGCATGCAGGTCCTGTTGCACTGTTGCATCGGGTTTCCTTGTGATTCCTGGGTGAGGTTCTCGGTTGCTCTTGGGGAGATCTTGGCAGACCAACCAGTCATGGGTAGAGTCACCATGGTCTTCCCATCTGCAAACAGTTTATATCTGTCTGACACTGGGATGATGGAGATCAAAATGTTTCTTTTGTCCACAGCATTATCCCTTTTGGGTTATGTGGCTGATACTTGAAAATGAACATTGCAAACTTTTAACATCACAGTATCTAACAGTTTTCGCTGTGGTCTGAGATCAGTAATTCTAGTGTACTTTATAATGAGTGTGTAGTGCTGTGAATAATCAATAGTATCAACTCTTTTGTCTTTGGTTTTTCAGTTATTTGCCTTGTGGGTCTCGGCTTGGTTGTGTTTTTCTTCAGTTTCCTGCTGTCAATTTTTCGATCGAAGTATCATGGTTATCCTTACAGGTGAGACAACATTTCTGTATCTTCACATTTTATCAGTGTCATGAAGAACAACTGAAATGCTTTGAGCAAACGCTCGATTAATTTTAGTTCTTTAAAAACGTATTTTTATTCATTCACTGTCTCCTTGGAAACATTAAGGCTGTGTCTGTACCTAACGTTTATCCACATATATTTATACACAATTATAAATTACTTTTTTCATTCTTCTTTTCAGCTTTCTAATTAAATGACCAGCTTGAGGGGTTCTCCAGATAATTAAGAAGACAAGAAGTTAATGCCCATGCTTACTAGTTAAAAAAATGTTTGCATGTGTTTTGACAAGATGCAATATCTTTATGATCCTTAAAACAAATCTTTCCACAAAAGCAAAATAAGGAATTATAAATAGGTTTATTTCTGTTTCGAAGCACTGCAATTTAAAGAAAGTCAATTAATCCATCATGTAATAGGAACGCTATTTAATACTGTAATAAACATTGTTTCTGGATTCCACATGATTTTTGTTTTGCTTTATATGTGGAGCCTTTGTCTTTCTTTCGTTCATTTGCTAGGTTATTAAGCATTGGTACATGGAAAAGAAAAACAGATGTATTTGTGGACACAGAAGGGGAAGAAGTGGGTCAAACCCCAGAATAATACAAAGCCCAAGCCTGTCCTGGCCCGCTCACTCTTGTCCAGCCTCGGTGGCCTCCTGGGTAGCTCAGGCCCAGGTTTGACGCAGCAGTTTCTAATCTAATATCAGCTTCAAGATGAAGTCTGTTTCTACAGTAGTTGTGCCACATGGAGAAACCCAGGCACAGGCTACTGTACTTGCATCTCCCTCTTAAACAGCTTTAAGCTGAGAGTTATTAATGTTCCAGAATCCATTAAAATGTTAAATGCATGAAAAGATTCTCTGCTTTTTCCTTCATTTTCATTCAGTGTGCTGTTTGCAAGTCCACTCTCTGATAATGGGGAACAGCACATTCTGACAGTCTGAAAAATAGAACTTCATGCATTTTAAGTAGGCTAATTGGTGATTAGGGCTCCAGCTCATTTGCTGTAGAGGCTGATATGGCACTACCATTGTGCTTGTAATAAGAAATATTTCAATCCTTTTAATTTTCTGATCCCATTAAATGCTGCCTTTTGTATATATAATTAAGGTGAATTGTACCTTGCAAACATCTGTAGACACTAAGGTACTCATGTCTGAAGTGAATATCCCTTATTATGTGATAATATAATCAGGGCTTCTGCTTCTTGGTTTATACCAAAAAACCATGGAAAATACACCCACAGTGCCAGGGGTGTCAGAAATGAAATGGATGTTTGTCCAACATAGGAAACTCTATGAAGGCTTTATTCAGTTTACTTGCACTTGCACTGTTGCAATCTCCAAGGGAACTGTTCATAACCTAACCTCAAAAGACATAGAAATGTTCAAATCCATGTAGGGATAATGTTAACTTCATATCCACTGGGGATGCTATCGCTTGGAGCGTGCTGTGTGTGTATCTAAGCAAAGAAAAGGCAATGCAGGAGAGAGACAGATGTGGTGTGTGCATGAGTGTGAGTATTCTCATCAGTAGCGTCACAAACACTCTTCTCCAGCACACCTCTACTTTTGGTAGAGTTCACTTTAGCTGTGCCCGGGGTTATAGAGTTAATATTTTTTATTCGGGGCCTTTTCTGAAATTGTGTCCCCACCATGAGCAAGACAGCGAGCTATTTGCATAAAGTCAGTTTCTGTATCCAATCCAAATTATTTGATAGGTAAGCAAATGTTGTTACTGTATTATTAAAAGTATCATTTAAAGCTGAAACATGTATACAATACAAATTGTAAAGGAACAAGTAATAGGTTTATTTCATGCTGAAAAGAGAAGAGAGAAAACAACATTTTGGCTGTGAAGCCTTCTTCAGGTGTGCATGCTGACGCAGATACCCACCTGAACTACAAATTGTATATATATTTTTGTTTAGCTGTAGCAGTGTATATCTATATCAATTTCTATGGCTCTTTCTTACAGTGAACACTTTTCATCAACATTAGAAATATGTTTAAATTACTGTTTATTATATTACTTCCTGTCAATCATGGTGCATATTGCATATTGAAAAGTAACTGAATCAGCTTTCTCCAACGAAGAGTACCATGTCAAAATGAAAAGTTCCGTGCCGTGCTCTGTGGCTCAGGATCTGCTCCTGTGGCTGGAAGGTTGCCGGTTCAAATCCCGTGGCCGGCAGAGGAATCCTACTCCGTTGGGCCCCTGAGCAAGGCCCTTAACCCCAGCTGCTCCAGGGGTGCCTTATGAATGGCTGACCCTGCGCTCTGACCCCCAGCTTCTCTCCCTGTCTGTGTGTCTCATGGAGAGCAAGCTGGGAAAAGACAAATTCCTAATCCAAGAAATTGTATATGGCCAATAAAGTGATCTTATCACATGACCGTGTTTGTAGGTGAGCGATGGTGTATATCTGTCCCTTCACTTTTTACTTCCTAGCAGCTGCGCTTTAAACAGTTGTATCCATATTCGCCCGAAAGTGAAAAGAAGCACTTTAACGTACAATCCACAGTGTGTGCTTGCATATATCTGAGGTGCTGTATTTACTGTAGTTTCCTTCCCTAGTGTTAGGATAGTGTTCTGGGAGTGTTATTGGTGTTCAGTGGTCTCTGTGGGCTCGGCAGACTGCAGTTTTACCCCTCTCAAGCCCAGCAGGCAGCCGTGGTGACCAGACTTGGGGTATGAATATGTCAGGAGATGCTGACTTGCTGCATGTAACAAGGAAAGTGCCAGATTCGAAGGTGATAGACTGTAAGTACCCTGCCAAGGATAAAATTCTAGCTGGTTCCAGCTGCTTTAGACAACAGGAGTCTAAAGGTCATTAAATTTTAAGGAGATTACCAGGGGCTTTGTAAAAGGCAATATAAATTATCTGGGGCAAATGATATGGCACCCTTCATGTGGAGGACTCCTGGAGGGCTGTAGCAAATTAAAAACAAGACAATAGAGTCCGTGTGTATGATGCAGGCCTGCCGTACAAAAGTAAATCTAGATAGGTTTTCAGTCTGGATGTTAGATGTAATAGAATTCTACTGGCGGGGACAACAACTGAATATTTATACATCACTGTGCAATAGCGGCTTTAAAAAAACAAAACAATTCATAGGCTCTCAGGTAGGCAATGTAGGAACTTAATCACTGGAGTGATGTGTTCAAGAAAGACCCTTCAGCTATCTAGTGACCAAGATGCAAACAAGCAGGAGCTTTAATAGTTGATATTTGATGTCTGAATGAATGAAGAAATGCAATAAACTAGGCAAGAAGCTATAAATGCAGAATGTCTGGGGTCTCTACATTCATCTAAGGTGAAATACTGTATTTCAGAAGATAAAAAGCTTTTCTGTTAGAGGGGTTAAAGGGTTACTTAGAACTGTATTATAAAACCTTCAGCATTAACATCACCCACTCATCTTTATTATTAGTGTTGAAATCCTGTAGCGTTTGTTTGCTTAAAGTTGATCTCTTATAGCTTGTTTATCTCTCTACAAAACTGCTTCTGTCTGGCATGATCTTCATCTTAGACTTAGTCCTTTTCACAAATTAAAAATGAACAATTCTAATCTCCATCCAGTGCTGTAACCTCCACATGAGCAAAATGGACTGTCGATGAATAAAATTAATCAGTAAATATTTTCTTTTTAATTAATTTCATCAGGCGAATGGATCTCAACCTTGCTGGCCTGCCTGCATCCGAAACCTGTTCAGCATATCAATGTACTGTAAGATCATTTCCCCCCCTAAAACATCAAGACACAGTGTTTTATTTCCAGTAAATCAGCAAGGACAATCATTTTGATTGTAAAAAAAAAATGTATTTCTCATGTTTAGTAACCTAGTTAATTCACTTAGATGTCTTAGACTGTATATTAACTACCAAATGAGTTTATAATAAAGGTATTGAAGTCCAGAAAGCTATGCAACCCATGCCGCTACCTTAGAATCACAAGGAAGGGTAAGTGGCAAAGTTTTACCCCCTGACTGAAGAGCATATCCTACAATATCCATTGACAAATGGCATTGTCACTTTTGGTGTCCCTCCTGACCTAATGCTGAGGACCCTTACCTTCCCCAAATATTAGCAGTATTGCAGTTACAGAAAGTCATTCCTTTGCTGAACCAATAGGAGGAGCATTTGGGGGTAAAAGTCCTGGCTGTCCACAGGTGCAACACTTGCACTGTTAAAGGTAGGAAAAAGCATGGTTAGAGAAATGGCTTTTCTTACAGAGGGATATAGGGAGGAGAGGGAGATGATGGGTTTAGAGACCAGGGATCTTTCGGGAACATCGGCTGCAGGAATTGAATGCGATCTTGCCTGGTTTGGAGCCAGAGCATGCTGGTGCTTCCATAGCAGGGGACTGGTCGCTGGGCCTGGGGCGCTTTGTGCTGGTGCAAAGGGACATGGAGCAGACAAACCTGCACCACTAGGAAAGCAGCCAGAGGTACTGTATGTACAGGCTTCATGGCGCGTGTGCTGGACTTATGCCATCAGCTCAGAGATGTGTTCGACCAAGGCTGCTGGACTTGGATTTCTTGACTGCCTTCAGCTCCCTGGTGCCGAGGCCAGGGGCAGCCATACCCTTTCAGCCTCTGCCCACCCACGTTAGCAAGAAGTGCCGAGCTGGGATGGGCAGAGAGGCCCCTGATTTGCCCCCGGGCCCTTGCTTTGTGATTTTTCATGCCTTTGCTCACATAGGCTCTCCGGCAGCCCCAGGTCCAGCTGAAGTACTCCTGGGATGAGTCTCTGGCGTGCGTACGGGCCAACCAAAATATCTCCTCCTCTCTTCCATCATCTGTTCCACGGTCCTCAGCTGCAGTGCCTGTGGCTCCTCTGTAGCAGCCAGCAGCTGTGTTGCTGGAGAAGCTTTCAACATATCCTGTTAAAAAAAAGAAGTGAAAAAAGCTACCCTGCCCCATTGAATTAGTCCTTCCTGGTCGCGGTCTAGCAGGACTAGAGACAAAATTAGTCCGCAAAGAGGTGGAGAAGAAATAATACTTAGACTTTCTTTATTAAACAAAATATCCCCGTTCACTGGCCAAAGGGAGAGAGAGGAAAAGAAAGCTTAATCTCTCAGGAATGTCTCGAGTTAGACTTGCACTACAAATAAATAAGAAAACTAAAATAATGTTAAACTAAAAAATACAAATACTCTGGCGAACTTCCAGTCTACTTTGCAGGAGTTGGGTGACTACTGATATCAGAAGAGAAAGGGGTTTGAACAGAGGACAACAGAGAGAGCAAGTGGTATTACTGGTTATTAGGAGTCCTGCTGACAGCTGTGTGCAGTTAGGCTCTGTCCTGTCACAGAGAGATTTGTTATCCAAAGCATAAGTCCAGTTACTGCCTTCGGGTTTGTGATTCTATTTCAGTTCTCTTTATCCTGTAAAGAGAACAGAGGGAGAAAAAATAAAATAAATTTAAAAAAGCATTGGCATTCATCACTGAAATACCTTTG